GGGGGGGGAAGAAATTGTAATATGTAAATCCATTCCAGAATTTTATCACGATGAATAATGAGGTCATTACAAAAACACAACTGCAGAGGAAGGAAATGAATATGGAGGAGCCATTACAGTAAGAGCAACTTCCATGGAGTTCAAAGCAGCTCCTCAGCTGCTGCAAACTGTCACAGCCCCGTGGAAGCTGATGCATCACTGCATTTTAGATAGGGCAATGTGAAACGCTGAAGGGATTCAGATGACGGGAATTAAATCCACCTTCATTAAATGTCCTGTGAGTGTGTTATCAGGCATCCATTCCTGCCTTAGACTCTTAGCTGAACTCTGCTGGAGCCAGCCATCCTGGTGACACACAAGCACAGACGTGTGGTCCTCCCAGTCAGTGCCCTGTACTGGGCTTAGACTGAGGTCTGGGCTTCACAAAGGGAAGAAACCTCTGAAGACAAATGCAGGACACCGAGTGTGATCATTTTACTTACTATGTAAACCCAGAGGTGATGAAATCCACAGCCCTACTCCAGTGCCTCAAGCTGCAGCCCTGCAGGCGCTCATGCTTGCTGCCATGAGAGCAGCCGCGGGCATGCCCCGTGCCTGAGCACCACGGGCATCCCGAGCCCAGTGTCCCTCTGCCCAGGCACCCTGGGCATGCTGGCACTCCTATGCTTGTGCCTACAATTGGCTGTGCGTGAAATGAGCTCCTGGACACTTCTCTCCAAGGCATAACTGGGGGTGCAGTACTGCCTGTTTCTGCTGCCACGTAATGCAGTGCCCTGCCACAGTACCCACAGGAATAGCCCTGTCCTGAACGCAGACAAGTCTCTGGGCCACCTAACCCTGCCCCAGGCCTGCTTTAAGTGCCAATGACTTTTGCTTTATAAGGGCTTTCATCACCTTCTGTTACATGTATGTCATCTGACTTTTCCCAAATGCAGAACAGAAATATTTGCTGACCATGTCTGCCTTTGCATTAGCATAAGCAGTATCTTTCTTTCATATCCAGCAACAGATTGGTACTGAGTTAGATTTCCTTTTGCTCTGGAGAAAACTGATTATCCTCAAGTTTGCTGACCACGATTCTTCCTGTTGTTCTGTTCCCCTAATCAGTTCTCTACCCTTCTTTAGTTTTTTTCACACATGAGACCATGTCTTTTGAATATCCTGAGAAATGTTATCAGTGTTCCTAATTTTAAGCATTTTCTACTGTTTAATTTTTATCTCCCAGATGATCTGGCTCAGGATTGTTTTCTTCTTTGTTAATTGGGCTCTTCTAAAGTACCTATATGTATTACTGGTTGGACCTTCATTTTGGCTTCATGGAAAACAAACAACTGCACTCAATTCATGATCCCTTTTATCAGCTTATCCACAATTTTAATAAAATTTCTGTAACCAGTTATTTTCTACAGAGATCAGCATTAGTATAATCTCTCCTTCACAGCTCAATTTGTTATTTAGAATATGATTGTATCTACAGCTCCTAGAAATGTCAAGGGCTTTTCAGTACTTGTAACATCAGATATCCAGCTGTCCCTCAAAATACAGCTTTCCTCCCCAGTTAAAGCACCCCTCCCCAATAACCTTACTCATCACAGATGACTACATAAGCAGCAAGTCCCTGTGGCCCAGGAAGGGGCTGCCCTTTGCCATAGTCATCAAGCGGCATTGTTCTTGGTTGGAAAGATGATTGATTTTGGCCACTCACTTGGCCTTTCCTAAGTAGGTGTTAGACTGTGATTTTTAACATCTCAGCTAGAATGAAAAAAGGAGTATTACATTGCTCCTGATGGAAATATTAGCTGATCTTGGTTGCCTGGGCTTTTATATGTTCACGATGCTTTCCTTTTGCCTGTAAAGACCACTCAACATATTTCATTGACAAGTGGGATGACCACGCCTCACTTCTCTGATACGATTATAATTTTATCTCTACTGATATGATTGCTCAGAGCAAAGGTGAAGAGTTGCATGCTTTTGGCTTGTTTCCATTCAGTTTCATCTACTGAAAAATCCACTATCGCCTAGGAAGTGCAACCATGGGATCTGTGAATGGGGAAAGCTGACAGAGTGCTTCATGACATGCAAGGGAAACGGACTGCTAATGCGCAACCTGAATAAAAGCAGACTGGCTTGCTGAAGACTCATTTCCTATTTTCTTAAACTTGTCAACAGCTGGGATACAACTATGACTAGTCTCCACGATAAAGTACTGAGATTTGTTTTCTCTAGTGAAGGGGCCCACGTGTGATGTTGTTCTCTGACCTTTCAGAGCCTGCACACAGTGTGCTTTAAGGCCCTAATTATTCTGTGGCTGTCTGGATGATTGTCGGGTCTCAGGTTTCCAATCTTTTTGTTTTGATCACTTTTAGATTACACTGGTGGGCAGCAGAAATCCCAGAGCTTTGGGGTAGGCATGGTGCAGAGCGCTGTGTTGTCTGAACCACGGCAGCAGCGGTGTCACTGTGTGATGGAGCTGTAATCTGTGCAAAAGAGCGGTCCAGCCTGTTGGGCAGGACACCGACTCCAGGCTCAGGCTTCAGGCAGCAGCTAAATGCACAATGCAGCCCCCAGCTGCTCACATGTGGTGTTCTTACCTGATGGTTAAGCCAGGAGCTGGGGATCTCGGGTCGCCCTCTGTCTCTTAGGACATTGTCCTTCATGCTTTCCACGCAGGGGTGTTCTCGCACTTTAGAGCCGAACGGGGGCTCGTACTCTTTCACTTCTGCCAAGAGAATAAGCAAACACAAGGGTATTCAGCTGGGCTGCACTGGTGCCAAGTGTGAAGGGAGCTGACTGTTCTCTGGAGGAGTAGGAGCTACTGATTAGCTGCTCAGTGCCACTGTTCTGCTTGACCAGCTCCAAACAAAGCAAAGCCAGTTGGCATTTTCAAAAATGTTTCAAATGTGTTTCTCCCACACGCCCCCTCCCTCCCCTTTTCTTTCCTAGCCAACTAAACAATTTTCATTTAAACCCTTTAGTACATAATCATATTAGCAACAGTCAGAGCAGCACAGTAACCTATAATGGTTTGTGAGCTTTCCAGTCTGTGCCGAGGCAAAACACACAGGGGCTTCAAGGTGGTTTTGCCCAAGCCAGGCTTGCAAGAACTGGTCTCCCTTAGGTCCCCTGGCGTCCACACACACTTACAAGGTGAAATACAAACTGAGATCTACCTAGATCATGATAGATGTTAAAGTGCCAGATTGCTAGGGGGAAACAGTTGCTTGAAAAGAACAAAGATACAGTAAGGAGCAGTGCTGGAAGCTGCCATGCTGCCCTTGTTTATTACTGAGCTGCATTCCTTTGTAAAAAGTAGTAGTCTGCTCTTATTTTAGGCCTCTTTCCCAAAATGGGTCAGTTTTGGCCCATGATGCAGGGGGCACAGCTTCCTGAAGGGGCTGCTGCCATTCTAGTTTTTGTTTTCATGTTGCATATTTTCTTTGCTTTTCTTTGGAGGGAGAAAGGAAGAGGCAGACATATGGGACCTTTGGAGAAAACTCAAGAAATCTCTGAGAGCGGAAATATTATAGTAGATGCTGACACAGTGTAGAAAATGCTGTGGTTTCTTTGGGAACAGATGGAGACTTTACTCACAGGCCTAATGACTTGCTAGTATTAGATAAAGATTTATGAAGTTGGCCTGTTCTGCTGCCTCTTATTTCTTTCTAGGAATTAATTGAGGGCAAGAAAAACTGAAGTGTAATCTACAAGGCAGACTGAAGAATGCATGTGAGTGCCCAGAAGATGTGTGAAGAGAGATGAACGAGACGGGAGACACAGTATTGTTACAACCAAAGTTCAAATGCAGTGTCCCGTGCTGCTCACTCCTCTTAAGGGGTAAAAAGAAGCTCTGAGAAGGGTGACAACAATGATTAAAGGACCAGAAAAAAATGGGAAGAACCTCTAAAGCTTGGCTTTGTTTCCTCTGGAGAAAAAGGTAGGAGGTCTTATGGTAAGATACTGCAAATAACTAATGATCAAGATAACACAGGTCAGATCCTTCGGTCATGTCTCACGATAAAAACAAAGTAGCACTGAACATAACTACAAGGTGGACTTTTCTCCAAAACCTTAGAGTCAGGCTGTAGATCTCACTTCTACATGATGGCCACAAGATGAAGACTTTATAATGCTTAAAGATGAAGAATTTCTAATGCTTGAAAAGAATACCCATGTAACAATAAACATTTTTGGAAGGATATTAAACCTTGCACTTCAAATGTGCAGCATTTAGAGATCCAGCTGCAAACAACTGTGTGTGCAGTGCAGTAGTCACTCCACAGATGCCACCTGTACAGCTCTCCTTCCTTCTCCTGAACCGTCTGGTGCTGGTCACTGTCCACACAATGCTTGGAAGAGTGGCTATAGTCCCTAAACGTAAATCCTTCTTCTCTTACGTAAATCACTTTCTTTAAGATTCAAGGGCCAAAGTCTGCTTTGCTTCCTTTCCTCTACAAGAAGGCATACCAGTTTCACCCACATTAATCTGAGTTAGAGATTACTCAGCCAAAATAAATTTACAAGACTTTAGCCCTAGAAGTTAGTTGGGAAGTTGCCATCTTGCTGGTCAGACCTGGATTACTCTGCAGCGGATGCACAATGATTACAAAGCAGATACCCTCTACTTTCAAAGCTAACCAAAATAGTAAATTTTGCTGGGAAAATTTAAAAAGCATGACCTTGACAGCCATTTTTCCTACACCATCTCCATCAGTCATGGTTTGATTGGGGTAGTGGTCATGGACAGCAGTCAAGGCTCTGAGATCTTTTTGCAGTATGAGGAGACAGAGGAGCCCAAATGTCCAACAAACAGAGTGAAGCTGGTGCTGCGGTGCTGACCTGTTCCTTCTTGTTGAACTTAATCCAAAGGCCATTCAGGTTCATGAGATGATTCAAGGTGGAGGAAGAGAAAGCCTTCCCACGAGATTGACATGTTTGTAATATATTTTCCTTGTTCGAGAAATTCCTTCTATGCTATAAGCAATCCTCTTCCAAATACAAAGACTGAATAGGTTTTTCAACATCTGGCTTTTTTTGTTGTGATTGGTTTTTTTGTTTTTTTGCTGCTTTTTTTTTTTTTTTTTTTATGGTAAAGAAAGAGAAATTGAGGTCAGATGCCAATTCACTGTAATGACTTTATAGTAATACAGTTGTGCCTTCCCTCAGTTTGAAGCATCTTCTTGCTATTTATTATCTTGCTTCTCTTTCCCTTAGAAAGAAAAGCCCACTGAATCCTCTCGCAGTAAATCATTCTTATGCTGTGGAATCTCAGGTGTCAGACACATTTTGCAGTAATAGCTTGGGGATCATGGATCGTGTTGACGTGCTATAGTAGATGTAACAGATGTCAGTTTGAGGTAGGTTAAGATGTTTGTGCCTAGCTGCTTGTGCATGGCTGTATACAGATGCTGAATCTATTTTTCATGCCTTATATGTTTCTTTTGATTCTTTTTAGACCAGTCAGGCACTAAAAATGACAAGTGGCTGAAGTACCATTAATACCTCGGGTACCATGAACTACAGCACCTTTAGTGTTTGGTAATGGCAGAGTTCCTTCAACTTTAACCTCCAGCATTTAATCTTTATGGTTGTGAGCTACCTTGCATTAATGATTGCTGTACCTTTGGTTGGTTTTTCTTTGACACTGGCCTGGACATAACTCTCAGAAAGGCTGGGACTGGATTTTTAGCCCCATACAGGGACATTACTGAAAATCTATTTGTTGTGCCTGATGAATGCTTTGGAAAATTTGGCTGTGGGTTCCTCATGAAAACTACACCTCGCTCATGTGAACTTTTTCTACTCTTAAGTTCTTTGAAGTGAAATTCTCTTCCTTTGGGTCAGAACAGCACACCTGCAAACCCTGTTGACACTCTCTCATGTGATCTGTCTTACTGATTTCTGTGGGACAGCTTCATATTCAATATTCATTATTCATATTCAATATTCATATTCAATATTCATATATGAAGGCTCATTTGTAGAATCAAAGCAGGCATGAGGTGAAAGAAGGCCATCAAAAATCTACTGTGAAGCACGTTTGGGAATTTTTAGGTCCTTTTGAAACCCTTCTTTAGAGTTTACAAAGGGAGAGCCACAGAAGGGATAAATCAATCAGTGGTGAAATTACTGTGACAGTTTACGCGTGCGCACACACACACACACATGCACATGTGTGTGTGTGTCTTCATGTTAGAGAAATTTGGGCAGTGGATCTACTTAGCTGTTGCACAAAGGGATAATAATGCATAAAGCAGAGGCTCCAAAGGCCACTTCAAGGCCAAGTTTAAGGAGCTGTCAAAATGCTTAGTTCACATTTCCCCTAGGTTTCCCTGTTCCGCTTCTTCAGAATACAGATGCTAGCTGGGAAGGGTGAGGGTGTGTTGGGATGGGTGAACTCACTGTGCAGTTTCTCTTGCACAGACATCATTAAGTGACTTCACATCTGGTGATCAAAGACACAGCCACCCTTCCAAAGGTTTGGGAGTGCACAAGCTCTGCCATCAGTGTAAGGTTACAGGCTGCTTAGTCACTGTGGGCTGGATCCTTAGGTTGGAAAGTAGAGAAACACAGAGCACGTGAACGCCCAGCAGGGAGTGTAGTGCCAATGATCTTATCTACCTCTACCTGGGCTTGTTGAAGGACAGCACTTGACACCTTACATGTAGTACTGTGGTGATACTTAGAGAATTCTAGGACATGAGTTACTGTCATAGGGTGATGCTGCACTATGTAGATGTACCAGCTCCGGGTTGTATGCCACCACAAGCCAGAGCAGTGCAGACATGCCCTAATTGGGCTCTTCTCCATTGAAGGAGAGGTTTAAATCAGGCCACAGCTACAGCCACCTCAGGGTTCAATGTGCAGGCACAGCCCCACTGTACAGGCTATGAAAATGCTCCTTGCCACCAGAAACTGTCACCTCTCCACGTCAGTGTGATGAAAGCTGAACATTTCACGAGGAACAGGATGCACAAATGTTTAGTTACCAAACTGTGTCTCTTGGCTGATGCTTTCCAAGTAAGCATGAGATTAATCACTGATTTTATTCATATTAAACACAGCTCTGGTAAAGCAAAGCTGCAATTTCTAACAAAGCCCTGCTGCTATAGTGAAGCCAGCCACCACTCCAGGCAGTACAATACTGCAAGAGCAACGTCAACATTTTCTGAGGGATTTCTCTTCTCCCTCTTCACCAACCCCATATATCCAGAAGTTCCCTTTCCTCTCCTTCTCCCCTGCCACCTCCAACAGTCCCCCACCCGTAGCAGCTCCGATGCAAAACAGATGGTTTTCTTTTCTTTCTAGGAGGTTGTCAGAGAAATTACACTTGCCGCAGTCGCCAAAGCTGTGTTTCTCTGAAAGCAAGTGGTTGAGATGAAAATTATATTTCTTGCAACGTGCAGCATCTGGTGCACAGCTGTTGCGCTGAATGAAATACCAAGTTAACGGCAGTGTGGAACAGTTGAAGTTCTCCCCGAAGTAGTATTGCTGAGTTTCTAAATATGCCTCTTAAATTATACTCCAGTGAAAAATCAGTCAAACTCGATCTTTGCCTCTGTCTCCCTTTCCCTCGTGCCCCATTTCTGCTTCTCCATATTTAGCACAACAAAGTAACAATGAACAGCATGGCCTTTCTTGAAAGCCAGTCCCCACCTGCTTATTTACTACAGCAGCTTCACAGTATGGATTATGCTGCTGGGTATTTTTGTTTAAACGTCTGCTGACTGAAAAGGCCTGGCATAGCGTGGAGGCTGTGCTTGACAAAGCTGTTGTAGTGAAAGGACCTGCCTCCATTGCCTCCCACACTCATTGAACACCTGCACGCTGACAAATGAATCCTGAGAGCTTCCTTTGGAAAAGAAGTAAGTCACTGTGCCTTTACGTGGCTGAATGGCAATTAGCTCCCCTCCATGAGTCTCTCCCTAATTAAAGTTGCTAATGCCACTGCCTCAGCTTAGACTGCCACTCCTGCCCTCTGAACTGCCACAAGTCTCTCTAGCAACAGGGAGTTGACATCAAAATTAACCCTGCCCTGGAAAGATGGTGCCTGCATCTTTTAGGCTCCTGCAATCAGGTCAGCCTGTTCCAGCTTATATAGGAGGTTATTTTTCTCAGTGCCTAACAGTTTAGGAAGAAAAGAGGGGTTTGCGTGAGTGGAAGCAGCTCCTTGAGAAGGCTGCGAGGGGAGGAGGGAGTCTCACAAGTGACAGATGGAGAGAGAAAGCAGAGGGGGAGCTGTAGTCGTGAATCACTGTAAGGGTATTTCACCAGCTGGTTGCAAAGATAGCCAGACTGCACGAACCAGGGGAAAATCTAAGAAAATGAGAGCAATCCTACAATTCTGCAGCTCCGTACCAGTGACAAGGCAAGGGACCTACATCCTGGAGTTGTATTTAACTGCTCTGGATGAGGACACTAAGCCGAAGTTCCACCCCCCCACAGATCTGCCTGAGTACTCCTGTGGTTTTGCTGGGGACTTCAGCCCCTAAAAATGTGACTGAAATAGGGAAATAAAATTAATGAAATGTGTTTCTGGAGATGAGGATGACTGAGGGATGAAATGAAGAGGGAAAATCAGGATGTGGGTGGGGGTTAAGCTCGACCTTGAAAGCAAAGGGGATGCTGGGCCAGAGAAATCTTTCCTTTTCCTGAAATGACTTCAGCTCTTCTTCTCAAGGTTATAATGGGTCACTCTCTTTCAGCTAAACATGCTGGTGATTTTCCTTCCTTATGAAACTCGCTTTATATCCTCTTTTAGGCAGTTGCCTTTTGAGAACAGCAGCAATAAGGTTTGCTCTTGCCACAATCTCCATTTCACTGTACTCAGCAAATATGAACAGGAAGGGACTCAGGCATCAGCAAAGATAAAAGACTCCACAGTGAACAGCTCATATTTATATTAATAAGGTGAGTTCCTAAATGCAAGAAACAGAGAGAGCTCAAGAGACAGGGCAAAGATCCTTTTTCTTGGGTTTTAAATCTCCTCAGCCACATTTACAAAGTGCTAATGAAAGGCTGAGGTTGTGCCAATGCATTTAGAAACAGGCATGACCATGACAGTTAAATGTGGATAGGTCTGCCTTGGAATATGCCATTCTGAGGTTCGCTTCCTGAAGCACCAAATGTTTTTTCCCTGAAATGTTTGACTAGAAAATAATTTTTTTTTTCATGCTTTTAAATTAGCTGTTTGCACACATACTCACTATGTAGCTTTCCTGGCAGGGTGAAAACAGGGCAAATCTGCTGCCCACAGTCCAGCCCAGCCAGCCAGACCAAATGCTGGTCAGACACAGGAGGAGACTGAGGTGGAGGCACTCCTCCCGCCTGCACACGGACACCGTCATGTAGCTGCACAGCCACTGTGCAGAGTGACTTCAGAGACCTCCATGGACACCTTTTGTGGCATCCCATGGGTGTTGGCAGAGAAACAAGGAACAGCTATGCACATTTTCCCGTGGGACACTGGTTCCCTTCTGTACACCATGTTCCCCATACTGTAGTGTTCTAGCCTGCAAGATTGCCCTGTCTCTGTGGCAGCTCTTTGAGATGCAATCGTGCCAAGTCCAATGGAAAGAGAGCCTCTGTGGTTTTGGAAGAAGGGTAACAAATCAAATTGTAGTCACATGTCTACTATGATATTCACATGAGTGTCACCTTTTACAGACCCACTCCTTAGGCTGCCTGTGAGAGCCCTGGACTGTGCAGCAGATTTTGTCAGAATGAATGTTAGACAATACCATCAGACTGAAGAATTTTATCTGTAACTTAGTCTCATTTTACTCCCTGAAGTAAGGTGAAAATCTTCAAACATGGCAATATGTAATGCAGATACCTCAAAAGCAACTTTTCTGATTTTTAGCACAGAGCACTGCTGCACACTGGGAATTCTGGGGCAGCTTTAGACAAGCAGAAACGGAGATTTTGTTTCAGTGAACAAACTCTGAATATGAACAAGCACAGCAGCTCTTCCCAGAGAGTTCTAGTAGTCAGTTCCAATCATTTTTATTTTGTTACTGCACTTCATACAGCAAACATCCCTTGATTTCGCATATGGATGATCTCTTGCAACATCAAAAAAGTGATGAGCAGCAGCTGGGGATTTTGGAAAAGCTGGAAGGTTTCTGCATCACTATGACGGCTCTTACTGAAATGATCAATTAGTAAATATGACACTTAACTGGCCCTCATTATGTTTCAGAATTAACATTCCATGAAAGTAAATGGGAGGCAGTTATCACTTCTTGGTCTTAATATTTCAAATTGTCTTATGTTTCCAATCATTTTGGGTGAGGTGAACCAGACTGAGTCAATCCATGACTACTCAAGATATTATAGGAAAAAACAGACATTAATTGTTTTTAGAAGTGGTCTACCTATCAGCAGATTTATCCTTACACCAATCGAGAACTAGTATTCTCATGCTCTCAGGTGCTTGCCCTTCAAGCCTGCTCATGCACATGTGTGCCTCATGCTACTGCAGGCCTGTTAATTTATAGCATCCAGGTGCACACTAGAATGATTGGTGACAGTTAAAAAAAGAATGATCCCCTCCCCAGACAACCACCAGAGTACGTCTGTCCAAACATATTTTCAGAGAGAAGAAAACTGATGGCACTTACCTCCGACGCCATTGCAACGAGATGTCATTTCCCAGAGGACCAAAGCCATGGAGTACACATCTGTTTGTTTGAAGGACTCCACGTTCTCCAGGTTCATCCTGGACTCCAGAACCTCAGGGGCCATATACCTTGCTGTGCCAACCTACAGGAAAGGAGATCGGGGAGAGCTCAGGAGCTGCAATTGTAATTCATGTTTTGGATTCTGCTGTGATTTAACTTCAGCTTTCACAGAAACAGTTCCATTTGACATGTATCCAGAAATTCAGGCCATACTTGGCACAGGTCATATTTTCTGCTGCCAGGGGAATCTGGCATTGTCCTGACTACCAACTTACTTGCACCTCCCTTGGTAAAGAAAAATAAAGAAGCCCTTTTTAGTTCCTTAAGCAAATAATTTTGACAGTAACAAGCTTTCTCACTTTTTGGCTGTTCACAGATAAACTCTGCTCTTTGGGCCTGAAGCAATTGCCACTGACCCAGTGTCTTTCAGATGAGCAAGAAACACATTGTATTCTTTTGCACTGCATATTACAGTGTTAGCTGTTTCTTTTCATGGTAGGCTTAAAAGGAAAGTGGTAAATGCAGGCCTGGCAAAAGAAAGCAAATACACAAATGCTGAATGCAGAAGCACACATTTGAATCGAAACCAAAAATCGGCCCCTTTGTTTGAAAAGCCATTCTCATAAACTTTATTCATACTGAGCAATTTTCAGCAACGATTTTAGCAGCTTTGCTGAGATCTAGATGATGAGCTTGAATTGCAGAAGGCAAAGTTTAAACGTCTGTTTTTATCACAAGAAAGGATTTGAGGAATAATTTTTGGATCACTCAACAGTTACTCTCAGATGACAAACTCTTCACAGGGTAGGTATAAAAAGTTTATCCCCCTTGAAAAACTGCAAGTGTAAGTTTTTGATCAGGCAAAGACACTTTCAAATTGGAGACTGGTTAATCACAGAGATGAACAAGTACCGGCGGATGATGCAGTAGGACCTGTGATTCAAATGAGCTAGACTTCACTACAGCAATCACTCCAGAGCCCAGCAGCAAGCAGGACTGCGAAAGATCATTTCAGTTACTGGGTCTGCAATTGCAGGCAGCCACACAGTAAATGTACAGTCCCCGAGAGAGCCCTACAACATCCATTTTAAGAGCTTCTGTAAACACGTCTTATTACCCCAGGCTCAGGGCAAATGGGAAGAAGTTCCACAAAAAGTGTAATGTGCCGCAAGAAAACAGCAGAAAAGATCAAGGACATAGATTTGCCATAGGACACTGCAACAGCAGAGAATTTCTGCATCAAAAATATCCAAATGGTTGTAGGATCAAAGCCCTTACAAACAGAGGACAGAAAAAAATCTGTGCGATCAGTCCCAAAGTTAAAATCCCCATTGTGTGGACTCTGTGATGAATTTAAGGGCAAGCATATGAGCAACAGCCATATACTGAACGGGTATTTGGGACAATCCTATCTCGGCACCGCTGAGTTCACCAGAATCTCCCTTCCCTACAGGACATTAACGTATAGAAACTCTGCAGCACTGGCTGTTCAAACCTCCCATCCGGCACACAACTTCTTCCCCAAGCAGATCCCATACAAAGCTGGGGAAACTTAACCCTATCCTAACTGAGCCAGGACAAAAACTTAAAAAGGGTTACCTGTACCCTATGGCCCACAGTCTCACACCCCCAAATCCTGCTGATTTTAACACGAGTTAATGGTGACTAAATACAGATTCTTAGCATTGTCACAAAGTGCTGGTCTGGTCTGTCATTCCACATCCTCTTTGCAGCAGTGAAAATTAGTCTGCAGCTTTGCTTGACAATGATCAAACCCTATAACTAAAAAGTACAGTGGAATACACAGAGAAAATTTAAAATAATTTGAAGAATGTTATCAAATCAACCCCATTTCCATCCTGCTTGGGATTTGTCACGTGTTCCACTCTGCTTGTGTCCTTTTATCTGCATTTAGATTATTAGGTCTTTGGGTCAAAGATACTTCTCCTGTATCTCACGGAATCCTGAGTCCTGAGTCTCAAAGGTGTTTTAGGTATCTAAACTCCCTCTGGAGTCTGGATATGCTTTCTCTTTGCTAAAACCAGTTTGCTTTCAGTTCTTCTCTAAAACTTCTAGGGAGGGACCATCTCTCTTCCTAGTCTTTTTTTTTTTTTTTTTTTTTTTTTTTTTTTTTTGTTTATTTTACTGCAGATCTTACACTTATTTGAAGCTGTTGGGGGATGTTTTGTGACCTGAGGTACGTCAGTCAGAGAAGCAGTAGAAATCCCTCTTTGTCTGATTACGGTTGCTGACACTGCTGAGGCAAGGAACTGCTGGCCTTGCTGGCACATGCCAGTCCTTTGAACACAATGGGACAAAGGTCCAGATTTATGTGCTCACGTTAAGAAATGTCTGCAAATATTAACTGTCACAGGTGGCCAAACTGAAAAGACTGCAAAGATTCTAATGGGTTTTCCAGCCAGACACTAAAGACATTGGCATTGTATGGTCAGTAATGGCTACATCTGCATGATATGGAAGGTAGTTGGGTAGATGGGACAGAAGATGGCTTTGTAACCCCAGTGACTTGCCTTGACTATTACTGTCCAAGGCTGACCAGAAAAATGGTAAAACCCCACTCTTCTATTTATTTCATAGGAAGCTACAGGTTTTCTTGAATTAAAATTTGGGTCAGCTCCATTATATACTTTAAAAAATTGTACCTTCTCATGGGAAGGGTTTGAGTCAAAAGGCAACGTTTAGAAATGATGCATAAGGTAAATCCTTGTGCAAGACCCCTTTAGCAAAAGCTACAGCACTAAAGTTGGCATGTTGGGGGATTTAAGTGAGTAGTGATTGTGTGCCCTGAAGAATAAAGGTGGAAGTTGAACTTGAGCCACTTCACATGATCATACTCCTTGTCACAGAGAAGAATGACACTGGCTGGGTCACCCTCAAACAGATTCACTGGAGCTAAACAGAAAAAGCAGTGGGCCTCAACACCAGTGCCCAAGGATGCCAGCTCCAAAGCAGTAACCTGCTCTGGGCAGCACCATACTTTGTTGTCAGTGTGGATTATGGAAGAGGTAGTATCAGCACTGTCCTCCTACTTCCAAGTATCTGTGAGCAGTGCCAGAGGTATCAGCTTGAAGTAAGGGTTGGCTTTAAGCAAAGTGTCTGTGGGGTTAAGTTTCACAGTCCCTGCTTTACACTGATGAATACTCTTATGACGGACAATATGGCACTTCACTGAACTCCAAAAAGGTCTGGCATGCTAGAGAGAAATTACATGTAACTGCGAGCTGTGTCTGTATTATTATTTTAAATATGGCTCTACTGGTTAACATTCACTCCTGACTCTGGTTAAGAAACCTTCTCAAAATGAGATCAGGACAGTTGCCTCTCACTAAGGAGACTTTCAAAGACAGATCTTCATTAGATAAACAACAGCAAAGCTCCCATGAACTCAACAGAGCACTACTGACTTAAAATCTGTCCCCGAAGACATTCTAAACCAAAATATTAGTTCCATGTGAAGTAAAATCAGTGCGAATGGACATATTTTGATGGGACCTATGTATAAAAATATAAACATAAAATACACATATATGTAATTAAATGATCCGGAATTATTTAACTTAAATGGTCTGAATTTATACTATGGGACTTTTCATTAGAAGAGCCAATATTGAGAAATATACTTGAAAAATTTAAGCTTCAAAGCATTCATAAACATCCTCCTGGCATACCTGTGAAGTAGATGAGTATTATTCGTGCTACTTAGTTGAAAAAGCACAAGAGGGCAATTATTTTCATTTGACATTCTTGCATTTGCTTGCATGTGGAGAATGTACCATAATCTTAGACAAGTTTATTTGGGGCCTTTTAAAGTGATTATCTATCACTAGTTATCTGCTTAAATCTCTTGAAGACAGAAGACTGACTTCACATATGCTGGGGTACACCAGGACTTGGTCTACTCACACAAAACTGTAATGCCACATGGCATGAAAACTCCAGCACAACAGTGAAGCACATCCTTATCGTATCTCTCTGTGTGTGTGTACTGCAGCAGCACCACAAACAGTTGATAACAAGCTCATATATTATAAATGTGTAGAGAGGATGATTGCACCATATACATATGCAGCTCTCTGATCATAGCAAAACCTACACTGTGCTTCTCCCACCGTTGCCTTAATGTTAAGTTTAGAGCCTCTTTGTTTCTGAACACTTTCACATTAATTTTTAATTATTTTAAGTAAATATGGCAGCATAAGTTTTTTCCCCTCTTTTCACCCCAGGAACTGACACACCAACTGGTACAACACCACCCTTCAACCTTTTAACTTACCTGTCCACTGTTAGCCAAGTCATCCACAGACAGGGAAGGATCCAGCCTCAGGGATAACCCAAAGTCACAGAGACAGCAGGTTAAATCATTTTTCACCAGGATGTTGGAACTCTTTAGGTCTCTGTGCACAATAGGTGTTTTGGGGCGACCACAGGGGGTGTGATCACTATGCAGATGGGCAATCCCTCGGGCCAAGGACCCACCCAGTTTCCAGAGGTCCTCCCAGCTGATAATGTGCCGTGTGAGATACTCCTGCAAGTTTCCTCTAGCATGGAAGGCAGTGATCAACCAATACTGTTTACCAAGATCTGTCTTACGCTCCTCTGCTGTCAAGAATTGGAGGATATTCTCATGCTTGAGGTTTACATCTGAAAAAATGTCTTTCTCAGTTTTCCAGGAGGCATATTCTTCATAGGGGAAAATCTTGACTGCCACAGTTTCATACTGCTCTGATGTGTTTTGCTTCAGTTTGGCTTTATACACTTCAGCAAACCTTCCTTTGCCCACAACAATGTCCAACTCAATGGGCAGCAGTTCTGTGTTGTGGTTGATGTTGTTGGCACAGGTAGAGCTGATGTCTGAGCGGTCATCATCTAACATAATGGCACAAACATCACTGCAATCCTTATGTTTCCTAGGCTTAACATTCTTCTCCCATGCCTTGTTGAGCTTCCTCTTCTTATGAGTGCGGTAGGCATAAAAGATAACAATCACAGCAACAGAAATCACCAGTAATGGGACAAGACTTATGATTGTGACTTTGCAAATTTCGTCTTTCTCCTCTGGTTTATGAGGGTCATCTGTAAAGAACAGCAGAAGGAAAGCATCCATTAAATTATGTAATAGCTTTATGTATATAGGAGGCTGTCAATAATTAAAGTTTTTATCCAGAGTGCAATAAGTGATCTCCTCCACTAACAGTAAATAATAAAAACTGTCACTGCTTTCTTACTTCAAAATGCTGTTTTGTACATAGGCCTCCACTTACCAGGACTTCTCTGCCTGCTTATTTTATAAGAAGCCAGAACTGAATGAGAAAGAACCTAATGTAATTTAATAGCTTTGTTCTTCTCTCAGGCTCTTAATACATTATGGATGAAACCTTCACTTTCCTGAATACAATAGAAAAAGTCTCCTGCACTTACTCTGTCAATGTATTCTTGATGTATCTGCCCCTTTAACCAGTAATTACTAGTACACATTAATTTTTCTAAGATAAATAGACAATGCAGCATGTGGTTTCCCACTTGCCCAGTTACCATTCCAGATCCAGTATATTTCAGTGGGATCCATGTAAAGACATCTTCAGGAAGCCTATTTGCACACAACTACTGCGTGTTAATGTTCAGGCACAATATGTATGCCTGCATATGCATCTGAAACACAAAGCTCATTCTCTTACTTTGATGTGTGAGAAAGAATTTTGCTAGAACAAATTCAAACATCTGCATGTACACAGGTGTTTGAATCCTGCGAGCTCAATCGGGCATGTATGACACATCAGAATTGTCACACTCCCTCCCCATGTACTTTTTGTATGGATTTATGTATCTGAAAACTTCCTCTGTGTGTCACTTGCTGGCTGTACACTGACAGTCCTGTTGTAAAGCAGTAGATGATTTACTCCAAACTCTGTATCTGGTGCAGTTCACACACTAAGACATTCTTAGGTGGAACATATAGGGAATAGAAGAACAACAGGAACATATTCTAGAATAGGGAGATGCTCTGGGAATGGTAAAGATCATTATTCTAGAAGAGAGAGCTGCCTTGTCATCTCTAGAAATGATTTTCTAGTTCAGTATTTCTTAGGGAAGATAAACAGTTTAAAAGGTTACAGTTTTATTCTGAAAACAGATTAAAGGAGGAGGGTCAGAGTTTATCTGGACCTGATTTGATCAGACACATGCAAATGTACTCTCCCAGCCTATTTCTTCCTTTGAGTCAGAGCAAATGTACTGTATTATCTTTCCATGAGGGAGGGGATTGATTGGAAGAAGCCCTGGGAGTCTAACCTGAATGGACTAAAACAACTGAAGCTGCAACCACAGTTAAGCAAGTGGCTTGTGTTGGCAGCACAACGCTCTGGCAGATGCTTACAGCAATGTCACTGACTCAGGTTCTGTGTATCGGGCCAAATAAGTCAATATGAAAAGGGAAAGTTTAATAAGCTCTGAAGGGAAGTTGCCACTAACTGCTTCCCCTGCTCTGTGCCTCTCAAAATGAAGGTGAGCAATGCTGAAAGGGTGGGGGAAAAGAGTTTACAATCAGAACAAGCAGTACCTCTGACTCTCCAATTTCACTGGTAATCACTTTTCCATTGGAAACACAGTTCGCTGGCAAGCAACAGGAGCCATCAGCTATTCAAAGGCAAGTGATGGGACATCTGAACAATTATTTTTCTTTATTTGGAAGAAGACCTGAATCCTGAACCAGGATATGCTTCCTCTGTTTGAAAGGTCCACAACCAGATGGTAGAGCACGTAATTCAATAGGGTTGAATAGCCTCTCTCATAGGGTTTCAAGGAAGAGGAAGTGCCTTCTAACACTGACATCCCTAGCTAGCACAGGTCAGTGACATTCACTAGCAGCACCTACAAAGAATGTATTTCCTTCATTTATGCAAAATAATGTTTTAAGCCAACCTATTCCACATCTACACAAACCACAAATCCTTATTCTCAAGTGATTTCCTCCAGTAACAAACTGTTAGTAAGTTTTAAAATTTTAATATTTTAAATAAAAAAAAAACTTAAAAGTTCATCACAGATTACAGGCATCCCTTCTGCTTCTCAACATGCTGAAGAAGGGAAAAAAAAAACCCAGTTTTTTTATGGCCCTTACTGGAGAAATATCACTGTCAGTAAACTGAAGATTTGCATTGCTTACTCCCATGTGCATTCTTCAATCGCTGAAAATCTGCTTTATAAAGAACACCCCAGTAGAGGAGAACTGACTACATTGTGGGATGGCTTTTCAGAGTTTTGGCTGCAAGCAGGCCACAACTGCATGAACACAACTATGATCTGTAACACTCAGATAAAATAGTTTTGATGAATGTTTGGGGATCTGTTTTTGTTTTGTTTTGTTTTTTTCTTCACCACAGAAAAGCTTGCTTGAAGTTTGGACTCTGCTCTTGGAACTGAGTGATATGTCGTCTATATCATATGGTATCCTTTCTAACAGGTAGAAAGGTCTCTTTAGGGCCCTTTAAGCCTTTTTTTTTTTTTTTTTTCCCCCACAGAGCTGCAATATGCAGCCCAGATATTTGAAATACAAATGTCTTTCTAAAAGAGGGAGAAAAAAAACAAGATACATTAGTTCTCTTTGCAATTTCTCCCCATGATTCCAAGCAGTTGGAGGTGGGTGCATGTTCAGCTTTAACTGAGAAGAAACTCACCCAAAGCTCCCACTCCTTAACTGCTATGGCTACCTGTGTGAGGGTCTCAAACATTCCTATAATGCCCTAGAGCAGGCTGCATTATTTTGGCCTACAGCTGAGTAGTCTCCAGCAGACTTCACAGCCCCTTTGGCTGTTCCTCTTTTTGCACAAGAGAAAGCTCTACTTGTGGTGCAGGGGGATTTCTGGGTGGAAGGGAGAAACTGTTGATGCTGCAAATGTCACACTTGAAAAAGAATGAAAAAAAAAATTTTAATCAAAGCAGAAGCTGAACAGTTTGGCCACTTCCCCTGAGCACTGTATCATCCTGCACCCCTGTTGCAAAGTGACACATCTGCTTTGGCACTGTCCCTTGGAGGAAGTAGGGACGCAGAGAGTGAAAAGCATACAGCTGCACACCCCCACCCGAAGCAACGAGGACTGCTGTCAGTTTTTAGGACACCCGACAAGGTCCACTCCAGGCTTGGGAAGTGCAAGGATGAGCACCCATCATGGAGAACCGGCTGTCAGGACTGCCAAGGCTGAACCCTGAGTTTAGGAGGGGAGTGAGCTGCCTGCCAGCAGATTTTAAGGGGACAGCAGCAGCAAGGAGCTGCTGGCATTGAGGGCTGGTACGAGCAAGGCACTTCTGGAACTGCCTTTGATTTTGACAGCTGATATGAGCTGATATGAGGACAAAATTAGCCCTTCCAGCACAAGCTCACGTTGGGGTAGTTCTCTGTCGAATCTGTGTACAAAGTCAGGGCAGGATCAAAATTCAGAGCATATCTGTATGTTTGCATAGTGGCTAGCCAACATTTTCTGGCTTGACTACAGGAATCTAAGAATAAATATGTTCATTTGCTTAAAAATAAATACCTATGACTCAAACCCCATAATTTCAAAAATGGGAGTGCTGCTTCCTCTTGCTGAGCACCAGAATGAGCAAAACCTGGCTGCATAGGCAGGCAAGGAAATGGTTAAATTAAACAGCCTTTCAGGTTTTGCAAACATGCTCCTAAATAACTTTCCCCACCCAGAACTATTATTTAGGAGGATCAGTCCTTTCTTAAGCTTCAAAAGAGCCTATTAATATAGTATAACAATAGAGAAGTTGAGCTAAAAGAAAGCTTCCTGTATGGGGTTTAAACTAAGCACAAGCCATCTGCACAGCCCTTAACGCTACCTAAGCCTTTAGGGAATAGGGCTCAGGTGCCAAGGAAAATGGAAACACTGTACAGCCCCTGTTCAGTCAGGAAGCTTCAACGCACATCGCTTTGCCTGCAAATTCTTTAGGTTGAATTGGGTGCCTTTGATTGAACTTCGGTGCCACTGAACTTTGGAAACAAGAAATAAAACAATGGCAATAAAATTAGTACTCACACTTTAATGCACAGGGCAGCACAAATGCACAGCCAGTCCTGACAGAACTACTTCAGTCCTGCTTGTTGCTTATGCAAGTTCTAGAGTTGCTGCCTATTCAATTGCTAGTCAAAGCCCCATGGCAGGGCTCGATACTGGCAGAACTCAGGTTAACATATCAACATAGATGTATCGCAAGCCTGTCTAATGTCTTAAAAAAACCCAGAAACACAGTCACGAAATATGGGCCCAGATCCGGGACTGCGATCCAGTTATTTTGCAAGCTCCTGAGACACAAAGCAGCCCTTTGAGCTGACTGTAGGATAACTCCATTTTGCAGCAATGCTGAGGTTTCAAAGTTTGGTTTCTATTCCACACTGGAATGAAAACTAACACTTTTTGAATGTTTTTGCATAAACAGAATTCTGTTCAAATGTTGCAATTTGGCAAGAGATGCGAGTGCTGAATCCCCACCAGTGAGGGGATTAGTCTGGGGTATGGGAGCTCCAAGTTCAAGTCCTGCTCTGATTCAGGGAAGAGCTTTTCATCTCTGATTATTCCGAATAAGGCGAGATACAAGTTTGAACCTTACGTGTGTACTGACTTCTGGGCAAGACACTAGGCAATAAAATATGGAAAAGTCTGCCCATCTCTTCAGAGCTACTTTCTGGATGAAAACTAATTCTATAAAATGCTTAATTTTCAGTGAAATGAAGTTTCACTCTGAGCAGCTGTTTGGGTAATTTAGTTTATCTCTGCTGCAGAATCTTCAAGTGACAATGAAATTCTGTAGTTCAATGTCTCATGTATCTTCCTGATTTTGGTCTTTTTAGAATTAAAATGACTTTGAAATCCTCAGTAAAACTTTTTTAGATGGGAAATGTTGATTTTCAAAACAGAATCTCTGCTTCTGACATTCCTGTACTTTTCCCTGAAACCCCTGTGTTGAGGACAAAAGCGGTCTGAAAGTTGATCCAATTTTTGTGTTTAAAAACTTTTGTTAATTTTACAGGCATTGTTTTCTGGGCTTTGTGGATGGGGGTGGGGAGCTTCTTCCTT